CACGAGTAAGGGTAGGTTTGTGCTTTTGTTTCTATGCTAACACAGAAATCTAAATGTACCTACCTCTCACCCATGCCTAAGTGTAATTCAACATTTATCAAGCTCCGCTAAAAATACAACACGCTGTCTCAGGGAGGCTGAGCTAAATATATAGTTGAGATCATCTTTCTCTGCTCAACATCTACTGGCAGCAAACAGCAACCCGTTTCGGGAGTTCTTCCAGTGTAAACAGTGTCTCGAAGGTACCCTCCTTTTCCTTGCAGGTTGTCATCTGAACGTGTGCTCACCCCTCGGCAAAGCCAACTCCGTTTGCAGCCCCGTGCGAGCGGGGCCCTGCGGAACGGGCAGCGGTGCCCGCGTGGGCCCCGCGCGGTGCAGGGGGCTGCGTCTGCTCCTGCCCCTCTCCTGCTGCTCCTCTGCTGCGCTCCACGCTCAGCCCAGCCGGCGCTGGCTGGGAAGGGCCGACCCAGTGTGATTCCCTGGGCCGCATGAAGGGGAGGAAGGGACCGTTGGTCCCAACTTTACATTGGGCTGTAACGAAACCGATGGACAGAGTTCCTGCTGGTGGGACTCAGATTTGTTCATCGAACAGAGATTTTATCCCTTTTTGTACAAGGTAGTCAGGGTATTTAGTAGTAGCTCTCAGAGCCTTTGCAGGCTCTGATGTATTTATCTCATAATATTTTCCGTGTATCACTTCTACAGGCTTTTTTTTTTAAAAAAGAAAACGGGTGAGATCCTGTCTTTCTAAGCCCAGGATATGTGTTTTGGGACACACAAAGAATCACCAAAGCTTCCTGGTGTAGCATGTTTGTTATCATTCTGTATGGAATAATTTCTTATGGATGTCAGTGTGCTCCTTTGACACATTATATCTTGACATACTGAATTTTAGTGCTGCACTGTAACATCATGAGATTTGACAAAAACAATATATAATGTTTTCAGAGCCTGCACGTTGTATCATTGTGTCCCGGCTCAGACAAATCAGAAGAAAGTTTGCAAAATCCTTCATGGCTTAAGTTGGGATATTTTGTGTTTTTGCATCTTTAGTGCCCTGATTAAGATATAATTCTGCTTTTGCTGGGTGGTGACCTTTGCAATTAGGTATTGTCCTTCTTGGATTTTAATTTTTACTGATGAAACTTGGCCGCAGTTTCAGGCCCAGCTGGACCTTATCCTTGACAAGACTTCCAAGTGATGCCCTGCCTATGATTTCCATAACTCTCTTGTCTGAGTCAATTTTTATAAACAAATTCATTTTTATAAACCAGTGTTTTCTATAAATTTGTTGGTATTATGGCAGTTTCTAAAGACATAAGCTGATACTGAGTCTTCACTGTGCAGACACTGTAGTTTGCACAGAAATAGTCTCTGTGCAAAAGGTTAGAGAAGGCAAAAGTATGAGAGAATGAAATTTTCCACTTTAGAGACAACCAATCAAGAAGAAAAGAGAATGATGTGCCCTGCAGGCCCCTTGCTCCTGTGACATGAGAAGGACATTGTGCCATCAAACGCAGCCATAGAGAGTGAGTGAAAAGCACCTTTGCTAGGAACAATTCATGCACATAAGGAAAGCTTCTAGAGGGAACCAAAGCCAGGCTGTGCGGATCTGTTGCTCTAAAAGAGACATCCCATCTCCATGGGAAGAGGTCAGGAACACCAAAGTGATGCTGTGGTCCAAGGCAGGGTGGGTGTTTCAGCAGAGTGATGATGCTGCTGACACGAGACGATGCTCGTGGGCAGCCTGTGCTGGGAGCTGCGTCCCTGCAGTGCTTCCTCCCTCTCCGTGGGCCGTGCCCTCAGTTTCCAGGGGTTTATTTAACAGCTTCCTTTGCACTAGATGCAGGTTCAGTTCTGTTAAGTCAAACTGGCACAGCAACAAAAATGGTAGAAGGTATTAGAACAGCACAGGTCCACAGAAAGCCTTAATTAGCACTTTCTGTTTGTGTTGTTTTACGCTATCAGAGTGGTCAAGCTAAAAGCCACCAAAACACCTTGACCATACAACCTTCTGCCGCCTTCCCCCTCAGCCCTTTCCAGTTGTGTCAAGATAGCTGTATTTAGGTCATTTGCTTACGACCTCTGAATGTCATGTTTATCACAGACTTTTGAAATGTTCAAGTGACAAAGTATTCCCAATAATGTTTAATCAGCACAGTGAATGAAGATTTGATGCACTGAAGTGCATCAGGGCTAATATTGTGGGAGGTCTAGCCATGGGCTAAGGGAATACTCAACTGAGATTTCTAGTGCGTGGCTGATCTGGCTATTTCAAATTATCAGAACCTAATTAAATGAAAACATACAAGAAGATAATGAATGAAGCTGTTGGCTAGAAAAACCTCCAATATTAAATCAGGAGTTTGCTTTAGGGGCAATTAAAATGCAGTGAATGTATCTTACACTGTGTTAATCATCAGTATTGTAAATGAATCTGATATTGGCCTGAAGGAGGATTTTAAAATTGAGTTTGTTATGAACTTTCAAAAGTTCATGCATGGTTTCCAAGCCCTGTGCAGCTCTGGAGAAATTCCCCCAGTGTGCTGCCTCTCGTGGCAAATGAACAAGTCTGTTCTAGCTTGCATAAATGTTTTATAATTGCTCTTAGAAGTCATGACCTGATTACAGAGCATCACCAGACCCTTCAGGATTAAAAAGGAGATGTTTGGAGTAGCAGTGCAACAGCAACAACCTGTTAGCAAGAACAGGTATTTAGTAGTTCCCTTTGGATAACTTGGACCATTTTGTTTTCTGTAACTGGGTCTTCCTTTTCAGTCTTGTTTAGTGTCTCCTCTTCCCAGCGGTGCTGCAGGGAGTCACAGCGAGGGACAGTGACACTGTGTTTGGCCTGCGAGGTGCTAAATGTGAAGGCCCCACTTGCCTCTCAGGCTGCTGTGGTCAATCTGTCTCGTTTGGTTGATGCAGCTCTGGGAAGGAGCATGTGAAGGATGGAAGGAGCGCAGCGGGAGGGAGAGAAGGAGCTTCCTGGTGGGAAGCTCCTGCTGGGTCCGTGCAGGGACCAGCACTAGCAAAGGCTGCTGGCTGGACAGAACTGCCTGTCTGGGAAGCACCTCCAGGAGCAAGATGTTATCACAGAAGCACATAAATGTGTCAAATACCTATGAATATGGTGTATGTTTGCACTAAGGTATTAGTATTTGAAAAAAGTCGAACTATTGCTCATTTCATTGCTATAAAAGCCAACTTAGGTTAAAAAATATATATATTTACACATTTTGTATGGTGATTTTTCTTTAGCAGTATGAGTATCTCTGAGCAGAGACCTCATAAAAACATACATGGATTAATACTTAATACTTAAATGTAAAAAAAAAAAACAGTGTTTTCTATAAAACTTTCAGAATTTATGGGATGGCTTTGGTTTGGGAGAGACCCATGAGGGCGGCGGGGCAGAGAGCCCGCAGCGGAGCGCGTCGCTCTGCACGGGGAGGTGTTTGCTGCTGCAGGGACAGGGTTCCAGCCCCAGTCTATGGAGCTGCTGCTGCTTCGAGGTGTCCCGCAGCCGTTCACGTGGGCTGTGTTTCTGCTTTGCTGCCATGTGTTTGGCTGTTGAAGCAGATGCTGTTCAGTTGCCATCTGCCTTTCTAAGGGATCTGGATTGCTCTGCATCAATGGGCTGTCATCCTCTTTATTTACTGCCCTTCTAAGTATAGCTGTTTGCAAACTTAATTGGGGATAATGTTGTGGATAAAAGTGTTAAGTACCTTGGGACCAAGATCGCATCCCAGCAGGACCCCTTTGGAAACACACTGACTCAATGGTTCCTGTTTAAAATTAGATTTTGACACCTGTCAGCCAATTTTGTATCTAATGTGTGCTGTGTTCACTTCATATCGGTCTGGTTTCTCCATCAAAATATCAGCCGCCTTCCAGAAGTCTGTTCCACTGCCACTGTTATCCCTATTAACCACATCTGTTGTCTCAAAGATAGAAGGTGGTTTGAATCTGTTTTCCACAAAACCTTGTTGCTTGCCGTTACTTATTTCCTTTCTTTCTTAATCATGTCCTGTCTGCTATTCCATTATTTTGCTGGGGTGGATGCCAGGATGACAGGCTTATAATTATCTGGGTCACCCCATTTATCCTTTTAAAATGTCCTTTCCTGGAACTTTCCCATTGTTTCACACATTTTTGAAAATGAACAAGCAACAGTCCAGAAATTCTCCAGGCTAAACAGCTTGAATAAGGTAGTTGGATATTGAGAAATCAGAGACCAGGGCTCTGACATCCTCCCAAATAAAACCCGCAATGAGAAGGGTCCCAGCAATACCTCATGGCTTTGACATGATGCTCTGTTGCTTTCCCAAAGCCTTCAGGGAGCTCACAGGTGAAGTCCTCATGCTTCTTGCACAGATTAATGGTGTTATTGGCAGTTCTATCATTTCTCTTTAATAATACTGCAGCATTGTTGTGATTTCCTTTTTTCCTAATAGCATTCTTCTGTCTGACGCACGCTAAAAATAAGTTAAAAATCAGAAGTTAATGAAAACATTTGCTTTCTTGACCAAGTCTGCTGGTTTAGTTTGCAAAGCTCATGGGGGCAGGAAATGAGCTCCAAATGTATGGCTGTAAAACTAGCAAGTGAATCCACTTAGAAATGGGCTTGTGTCTTCATGCCCAGATTGCTGTGCACAATGGCTCTTTCTCCATCTTGCTGGTTTCTGTGCACTAGAAAAGCTGTTTGGTTTTAGACGAATGTTTTTGCTTTCCTCTTTTGACCCTTTCACATTCTGCTTAATTTTAAATAGAAATCCCACATTTAAAAAAAAAAAAATCCTTACCTTCTACACTGAATTAGAGTATCTTAAGTCTTTGAAATGTGGTGGGTGATTTTCCTTCCCCCAAAGAGAATGGTTGAGAAGCCTGGATAATCCGAAAGAGTAACAGACACAAAATAGATCTATCAGGCTGAAAGGGTGCAGGAATATTTTGAATCTGCTGTCGCAGCTGGGAATCATGTCCTTCATCTTTTCTAGAGTGGTTGGTGGCTTTGAGACTCTGACTGCCCTGGAGAATGTGGAAAGTGACCCCAAAACAGACCGTCCCAAGGTAATTTGGAAATGAAAGGGGTGTGCAGGAAGGAACTGGCCCTGGTTCGCTTCACCCTGTGGCCACCTCTGAAATGGAGCTTGGGGAATAGAGAGTAACTTGAACAGCAGCTCCTGATCTCTCATTTTCTCTCTGTTTCTAGACAGAAATACGAATTGAATCAACAACTGTTTTTGTGGATCCATATGAAGAAGCAGATGCCCAGGTGAGGATAGAATTATTTTATTTTTTGATAGCCCAAAGCCCTTTACATGATTTTGTAACTTGGTAACTTTAGCTTTTATTCTGACTCTCAGACTGCGTGCTTTTTCCATGCATTTTCTTGCTGTGTCCTGTGCCCTTCTTCCCACCTCCCACTACCCATGGACAGCCCTCTCACACACGTGCCATTCGGCAAGGCCTCGTGTGCCAGAGTCGTCACTGCCCTCTCAGTGGAGAGGTCTGGCAGGGCTCCTGTCCCCTCCTGCTCCTCGCAGCTTCCCTTCCCAATGCCACGTGAGCCGTCTTGCATTTTAGAGTGTTTTAAAGCTTCACAATGCCCTGGGTATTGCCTCTTCCCTCTGGACTAGCTCTTGCAACACCTTGTGCTGTTTGCTTCCTACAGGTTGCCGCAGAAAGAGAAAAGGCCCAGCAGGAAGAAGAAGCAGCCAAAACAAAAGCTGAGGTAGCCCCACCAAAGAAAGAGATCCAGACTCCTAAAACTTACCGGCAGGGGATTGGAAAATACATTAACATGGCTGCAGCGTAAGTTCCTGGTCTTACTAAGCAGATCCCAACAGATCTTTGCTTAGTGCCTCCATTCCCTGTGCAGCTGCATGCTAGCTCTGCCCACTGCTCTTGCTCAGGGCTATTCACTGGGACTTGCCACAGGCCAAACGTTTGTTTCGTGCCAGCAGGCTGTGCAAAGGTGCTTGCAAGCAGTCCTAACAGTCAGAATTCCCTCTAGATCTTTTGTTTTTCAAGATTAAAACTTAAGCAGGATTTTATTTCCTTATCTTTCCCATGTGACCCATGTGTTGGCCCATAGCTGCATGGATGTGCTGACTTCTCAACTGCAGTTGTATTTCCACAATACAGAAGTCCCTGAGGGGGATTGGTACTGTCACTTCCCCCATCAGCTTCAATTCTGGCCTCCCTTCCCCTTCTGCAGCTATTTCTGAAGGCCACTGTTCCAGAAATGTCCCTTCTAGCAGCTTCTGCCCTGCCCGGAGGAGCTGCCTTACACTCCGGTGGGTCTGGCGGTGCGGGTCACTGTGCAGCACCGGAGAGCGGCCCGGCACAGCCGGAGCGGCCGGACGGGACAGGAGCACGGGCTCGTCCAGGGGCATCCTCTCCCGGAGCCCCTGTCACTTGCTGGGGCTGGCAGCACTGCTCGCGTCCCTAAGGACAGGACACGGTTCTGCCTCAGCAGCGGCTTAGCACAGGCTGTGGATAAATTAAAATATATATGTTCTTGATTTTTAGCCTTCTGTAAAAGTATTTGCAAAAACGCTGCTCTCAGTGTTGCAGAAAGGGGTGTATTTATGTGTGCCCAAATCTGTGCACCTGCTTACGCAGCTTGTATGTGCCTGCGTGATGCACAGACATTTATGTGTGTGGACACAGAAATGCGTGAGCCCCTGTATCAGCTTGATGCCTGTGTCCGCCAAATAGTCCCTAAGTGTTGTTTTCCTTGGGGCCCTAGGAAGCGCAGTGCGGAAGACGATGGCCCCTCCACCAGCACAGCTGGGAAGAAAGAGAAAAAGAGCTCGGGCTTCGGGGACTTCAGCTCCTGGTAGCAGAGCGAGGAGCCTAGCACCGATGCAGCGCGGTGGGGAAGACGAGCCGGCCCTCGCGCGGCCCCGGAGAGCCCCAAAGCCAGCCCGTCCTGGGGAGGGAAGGCACCGCCTGCCCTTCCACCCACAAAGAAAACTGTTGCTTTGTTAAGGCTGCTTAATGCAGCTTTGTTCTCCAGAGAGCTGCGTTCCCCAGCGCATCTTCCTTGAAGGCTTTTGTTGCGGCGTGGGAGCAGCATCGCTGCTCCGGGGCCTCGCCGCGTCCGCGAGCGCCTGCGCTGCTGAATGAGCTCCCTGCTCAGGTAATCGTTTCCACGTGAGCCCCGTCTGCCAGCCCAACGAAGGAATTAACGTGCCGGGGAAGCGCCTGCCCTGCTGCGCCGATGGGAGGAGAGGCCTCCGGCTTGTTCTGCCCTGCCTGGGGCTTCCCTTCCCTCCGAGCTCTCTTTTGCTGCTGCTTAACAAGGACTAAATCTCTCTTCCACAGTCTGTGCCTCTGGGATGGACCCAGACCAGCTCCAGGTGCCTCCTTGCTCCCTGCAGGCTGAGCTGGCTTCTCCCTTTCCTTCTGGCAGGCTGGGAAGCAACCGAGCTGCCCGGGCACCCACTGTTACTGCCCTCACCGGCCTCACTGGAGCTGTAACGCCTCGGTTCCAACTTGCCCTCTGGCTCCAGAAACTACCGCCCAAAGGAACTGACCAGGAACCAAAACAGTTTCACGGGGTTTGTTTTAACCACCTCCAAAACCAGCTGCCTGCTGGGGAGCACATACTGCGGTCTGCCCCGGCGTCGGCCTCCATCATTAGAGAAAACATGGGATGAAGCCAAGAGTCCAGGCTTGAGTTACCTGGAATGCCCACAAACCTAATAGGGTGCTCACTAAAGACTTGCAGGTAGAGACATACCAGCCTGTGGAGTTGTAATCCCAAAACATCATGTGTGTTACCATCATTTAGGCATCCTAGGCTAGATCCAGAACATGTTCAGTTCTTCTCGGGCTTTTCCAGAAATGTCCTCCCCACCTCCACATGCCTGATGAGATAGTTTCGTAATCAGATTTATAGCTGATGCGTTGATAGCAGTGCTTTCGTGTTTTAAGAGAAGTTCCATTTTTATGAAATTGTTGTAAAAACTTTTGGTAACATGTTTTGCATTAAATGCCTTTATTTTCCTTTGAATGCTTGCCTTTGACTGCGTTCAACTGTCATTTCCAAGATCATGGCATTACAAAATTGATTGTCTTACCAGGAAATGATTCATTCCTACTTTCTGAAATGCTCATAAAAAAACTCTGGGATTTTTACGGATATGATTGCATCTTTGTTAAATCGTAGGAAGTTCAAACTAGTCTGAAAGAATAATGTTTTTTATTGTTGTTGTTTTGAAACATCTTGCAATGTATAAGTTTGAACACATGTTCGATTCCTGGAACAGGGGATATGATGGTACTTTCCTCAAGCTGAGTTTCTTGTGTCTTCCTGAAACTTCTTACCTCTCTCAGACGGGCCCTTTCCTGATAAATCGTTATTGGTCCTTTCTGTCTAACCCTTGCGTCAGCGTTTTTTTGAGTTGTAAAGCTCGCAGTATTGCTAAAGATGGCACAGGCATAGTATAATGACTTCCATAAGAGTAGAATAAAATGCTTTTATACTAGATTAAACTGCAGATTATTCTGAAGGAAATCAGCTTGTGGTTCAAGAAAGGCGATGGGGGGTGCGCAAGGACTCCCCGCAACCGGTGTCCTCCTCGCAGGCTGAGCTCAGCGGCCGCTTCCTGCGGCAGCAGGAGGCTGCAGAGATAAGTGCCCGCGTTCCCCGCTCCCGAGCGCTTTGGCAGTGAGCGCTGAGGTCCGAAAAGGGCCACCGCCTTCCAGGGGCAGAAGACCTGCCCTTCCGAGCACAGTTTTACAGCCACCCGTTTTATTGCAGCTTTCCACCAGAGCAAACAGCTGACAGAAAAGAAGAACAATTTCCCGGCTTGGAGGAAGGCCTGAGCATAACCCGCTCCGGTTGGCTCTGCTGGCCTGGTCTCTGTGCGGGAGCAGGCTCGGGAAGGAGAGGTGAAGCTGTCGGCTGTTGCTCGCCGCGGGACCTGAGGCACCTTCTCCTGCCGGGGTGCCGGTCCCTTCCCAACCCTCGTCACAGCTCGCGGGGCGG